AGAGAGAGAGAGAGAGAGAGAGAGAGAGAGAGAGAGAGAGAGAGAGAGAGAGAGAGAGAGAAACAAACAGATAGATCAAGCTTCCCCGACGAACCACACAACCACGATTTGACATTTTCTGTACAGTGTTTTTAAGCGGTCTCTGATGTGGACTTCTTTCTTGCAATGCTCACAGTCGTTCTCCCGTGCTCGTTGTCTCACATTCGTGACAACCTGTAACGTTATTTCTCTTCTGTATGATATGAGATGAGACATACAGTCTGCAACCAGCCTCGCCATCTGTCGGAAATTCACGATTGCGACGAACTGCTCAAATATTTATGTCGTCATAGGTATTGGAATAGATTCATCATCTATCCGTAGCGACAAACCATGAAAAATTGTATTGAACGTTGTGACAATTCATGGAGTTAACATCGCTGCAATCCAGCAGCGCATGTACCACAGACGCACAGTCTGTGATAGTGTGAGCACTGCAAGTGATGGTGTGCTTTGCTATGTCACGTTCTTCATCCGCCTTCATGGGTTGACCTTGTATACTTTCCGTGACAACTCCCTGCTTCCAATTTACAGATAATTTTCCTGGCATCAACCTACCTCGTGTGTATTGCAGGGTATCCATGACGTTCGTGCAACTGTTCAACAAAGATATTATATTTCATGGAAGGTCATCGTCTTCTGTCGCGACACCCTTGTCACTGACACTGTAAATGGAGTAACGGTCTATGCTTTCTTTTAAGTGGCAAATGCTGTCTTCTGCAAAGGTTCAAAGGTCGACAACGATGTGTGACGAGGCAGTTAGTGAACCAGTATTGTGTTCCTGACTATCATAAGACACCCACTCTTCCTTTACCACACACTTGTGAGTGCTGGAACAACACACAATATTCTATTCATGTATTTTTTCGTTAGTTGTGTTAGTCGTGTGAACAGTGAAGCGATTCAACACAACGGTGTGCCTATTACTTTCATCTTCCAACCATGTATGATATTCGTCAAATGCAGTTGTCTTCGTTTCAGTTATTTCTTTCATTCTGACGATCATATCCTCCCTCGGACGATCAATGTACAAACACTTTGGATCGGGCAGTAATAACCATAATATAGTGAACATCATGTGTTTCGCAGTTTCTATCATTTCGGCGAGCCGTGATTTCTAGGCAGCCTATCTCGTCTGACATATGTCGACCAAGTGTTTTTGTTTTTGTACCTCGTCTGTAAGCCTTTCTATCCGAGACCTTTGAGATGATTTGATGGACGGCTTGCTCCAAAGTGTCATGAAGGACACTTCTGTTCCAAATGGTTTATTCCGAAATAATATTCCTTGTCCCGAAAACATGAAGAAAACTAGTGTCAGAATCAGACGACTTGTTGCTAGTGGTTGCCATTGAGGCTTTTTGCAAAGGCAATGATGAATCTTTTGCCTCTCAGCATCGAGTCGGACTCCCTTTGCAGCTTGAGTTCTCTGCAAGCTACCAACTGTCAACCCCCCCCCCCAGTAATAACCCCCGGACTTGCTTAGTCAAAGTAGATGAGCCACCTCATTTCAAGGTAGCCAGTCATTAGGGGTTAGCATGAGTCTTCGCCCTTGGTTACCATAGCTAGGTAGCTCCATCGACTAAGGTCCATACGGCTGGCAATCAATATATAAGGGCCCCACCTAGTTCACTACAGCACACGGTACCCCTCTGCCATCGCTGATGCTTTTTTGTTAACATGAGTTCGCGACCACCGGTCGGTCTTGATTCTATTCGCTTGCACCCCTCAAAAAATTAACAGTTTCCCTCAGGACGCAACTTATCGAGGGAGCGGCATCATAGTCATTCGCACACTGCGCAGGGTACTTCGTATATTCACACGGGCTTGAAACAACATGCACGGCTTAACTGGTTCAATCAACACACTCGGTATCTGTTACATCTTCGACGCCACACGGGTCCTACCGAACGCGACTTAGGGCTAGAGGGACACATCAGGGCCTAAAGGCCCGACCTTGGGGGATAATAGGCCGAAAGGCCACGACTTGGACCCAACTACGGACCAGGCCCAAATGACATTTCGTCTTTGGGCCTGACGGCGCCGTTTGAGGCTGCCGCTCTCCGGTTGGACATGAATCGTCGATCTGGACGGTTCAACCCCAACCAAGGCCTCGCGGCAGTGAGGCCGGTTCTCTTCGAACCAGTACTTAGTACTGGTCCGGCCTCACTTCGAGGCATCGACCCACCGGTATTCTACGCGGTGCGGTAAGGTCGGCGCCAGAGCGCCGTTTGAGCGCTATTCCTAGCGCAGGAGCGAAGGGCAGCAGCAGAGCGACCTAGCACAGCGGCAGCAGCGAGCGAGGACAGCAGCAGCAGCACGGCGGCCATCGCCGCCTCAGCAGCAGCAACTGCAGGTACCAGGAGGCGGGGATCTCTTCCTCCCTCCTCGGTCCCTTTCCCTCCTCCTCACCTTC